GTCCTACCTCTTCTATCTCTCCTCTCCTCTCTTTATCACTCACACACACACACACACTAAAAATGTTCGTCGGTTAGCCCGACAAGCTCCCCACCGCTACCCTCTTCTACTACGATGTTCTTGGTGAGTTGAAGACCTTTCAAATCGAAGATCTCACCTCCGGTCAAGTCTTTCACCGCCGACAGCACCTCCTTTACTTGGGCGCCTTAGTTCCTCAACCAATTTGTCCTAGAGGAGCTTGGACGCGCTTTTTGACAGATGCGCACCATGGTTGATAGCATTTTGAAGCGACGCTGCAGAGGATCGAAGTTGCATGAACTTGAATTCCTCGTCCTTATCCTTCTCATCACCGAAAACTCTAACTCGAATTTGTCTTCCTTGTCCAAGGCGTGTCCAGGCTCCTCCTCCGGGTTGGTTGTTTGGTGGAAAACTGACTCGTAGTCGATGGAGATGGAAGCGACGGGGGTAGTGCCATTGGACGGCACCAATTTTTAGGGGGACATTCTTTTGAAAATAGATAAGTCCTAGGAACATATCTGCAAATTTAGAATTTTTCACTATATTCCAACTTACTTCATGGGTCAAATCTATAATTTAATAAAAGATGATAATTATACGATAATGTTTAGCGCAATACACAATATCATATTTGGATATGCACATTAAAAATATTTGTGCTACAAAATGGACAGTAGTACTAGACTAACTGCACATTAGTTCCTTGAAAATGCATACTTATGTAACAGTGTAATTTGCATAATGGCAAAAATATCACCGCGTAAAAAATCAACAGTATGCATAATTACAGCAATGCCACCGCTTCTTAGACCAAAGCTGGAGCCTTTGACCGTGCCTGGAGCATTGATATATCATATACGACCGCTACAATCTATTTCTATTACAACTATAGCCCATTCTTAGTTGATCGTACTTCTATATATATATATATATATATATATATCAAATCAGTAAAATCCTAACAAATATTAAATAAACCATCTTCAAACTTTGACTTTTATTAAACATAATAATATATTATTATTATTATTATTATTATTATTATTATTATTATTATTATTATTATTATATGTATATTGCTATCTGCAAGTAATTATAGGCATGTAATATATATTTACATTATTTTGGATATAGATATAACTACTTTCAAGTAATTACAAGTATGTTTGAATTTAGTTATCCTATAGAAACTACATAATGTTGATCTATTTATTAAAAAATATTTTTTAGTATTGGTAATATTATATTTCGTATTAAAAAACTTCATGCACACACAGCTACAAAAAAACATCACGCACACACACCCCTGCACACACACACTTTGGCCAAAGGTGATGAGGCGGCGGACGGAGGCGAGGCGACATGGCAGCGGACCGAGACGACACGGTAGATGGATGCGACGCGTCATGGTGATGGATGGAGGAGACACGACGCGACGCTACGGCGAACGAAGGCAGCGAATGGAGGCGAGGCGACGCAATGACACACGGAGGTGAGGCAACACGACGTCGGACGGAGGCAAGGCGACGAGGTGGATGACCAAGGCGAGCTGACGCGGTGGCGGAATGTTGCGTTTTGGGGTGGACGGCGGGCAGATCTGGCTACGGCACTGGTCTTCTTCAACCTAGTTTGTTTTTAAATTGGTTTTTGTCATTTCGAGCTTGATTTGTTCAACTTGTGCCACAAGCATATTTGGAAAAAAGTTTTTTGGCAAGCGGCGGTGGAGATGGCTAGGGTCTTTGGGATGATCGAGAGTTGCAGACTTCCAATTATAAATGGTGGAGGGGGAGGNNAATAAGTTGTAAGGATTGAATTATAATTTTAGAAAGTTTGCTTTGGTTGGTGGGTCATGTGTTGGTGAAGTAGATGTATTTAGGGACTTATAGGAAAATTTCAAATTTTTAATTTATTTTCACAATAATTTTTATGCACAATAATATTACGTAAAGTGCACACTATTTACCGAGAACATGCACAGTAAAAATTCATGTAATATTTTTTTTTCCTACGAATTAATGAATTGTCTCCTCTTACACATTTAAAATTTCACAATTTAACCAAAATCTCACTGTGGTATCCTAGATTTTGCAAATAAAACAGAATTATAAATTTTCGAACTGAAATTTTAACTTGGTTGGTTTCGGCCCTATTGTGCAATCTGATATGTAATGTGCAATTCGTATAACACTATCGTCTACTCATAGAACATACATTTTTATGATTTTTCCCAAATCAAACTAAAATCGAACTGAAATAATCGGTTTATTTGATCGGTTAACCAAATTAATTCTATATAATCAAAAATATTTATTATTTATACAATAAAAATATATTTAGTATTTTAATATTTATAATTAATATTTTATTTTATGTTTGATTGAAAAGACATAATAATAAAATAACAAAATTAAAGTGCATTTCCGCATACAATGATGTGCATTTTGCAATCTTTATTATGTAATCTAACCTTCGGGGTATTTTTTATTTTATGCATTCTCAAACGTGGTAATGTGTAATTTATTATTTTATATTATTTTTTAAAATTTTAATATTTTTATTTAAAGTTTTTATTTATTACTTTAATATATATGTATAAACAAATAAATAAAGAACAGTATTTTTATAAAATTTTATAAATTATAGATTTAGCCCATGTCCAAAAGTGAAATATAATAAAAAACCTTAAAATCGCTAATAAGTACTTATCTTATGGCTGCCATCATAAGCTTTTTTCAAACAAGTATGATTCTTAAATATTGGAATCACACAGTCATATCCCTTATACCTAAATGCCAAAATCCAGAAACTTTGAGCCATTTTTGACCTATAAGCCTGTGCAGTGTTGTGTATAAAATAATTTCAAAAGTTCTGGCACAAAGACTTAAGGCTTGCTTGAATTTCTGCATAAGTGATTTCCAATCAACTTTTGTTGAGGGGAGGCAGCTTATTGACAATGTCATAATTGCACAAGAAGCATTCCATTTCTTGAACAGGCACTCCTCTGGTCAAAATTTTTTTATGGCACTAAAACTAGACTTAATGAAGGCATTTGACCGAGTTGAGTGGCTTTATCTGAAAAAGGTCATGCCGCAAATGGGATTTCATATGGATTGTGTGAAGTTGATCATGATTTGTATCTCTACTGCCTCTTACTCTTTTAAGATCAATGGTAATTTCAGTGGTTATGTCCCACCATGAAGAGGTATTAGGCAAGGGGATCCCCTCTCCCCTTACCTATTTATCATTGTTGCTGAGTTACTCACTGCCCTGACACTTAATTCTATTGATTCTGATTTATTAAAGGGTATGAAGATTTCCAGAAATGGTCCTGTGCTCTCTCATCTGCTTTTTGCAGATGATTCATTATTCTTCTGTAGAGTTGGATCAGATCAAGCAGCCATTCTGATGAATATCCTTGAACAACACAAACTCTTCATTGGCCAAGCAGTAAACATGAGCAAGTCTGCTATATTCTTTCGCAAAAACACTACTCAACACATGTAGCCCTCCATTTGTAGAACTCTCAATGGCATTGCCTCACACAGATCAACCCGTTATTTTGGTCTTCCTCTTGGCATAGGAAGATCTAAGAAGGTAGTGTTTGAATATATTCTGGATTCAGTAAAAAACAAGCTGAGCAGTTGGAAATCCAAATTACTATCTCCAGCTGGCAAGGAAGTTCTCATTAAAGCAGTGGTTCAGGCCTTACACATCTTCTCCATGTCTTGCTTAAAGCTCCCATTGACTTTCTGTTCTGAAATTCAAAGTTATGTGCCCAATTTTGGTGGACTTCTGAAGATCAGCAGAAACATGGAATACACTGGAAATATGTGGAGCTTCCTATCACTTCCAAAGATGCATGGAGGTATTGGCTTTTAGGACCTGCAGTTATTTAATCAAGCACTAATTTGCAAACAACTATGGAGGATTGCCTCCAATCCTGAACTACTAGTTAGCAGAATACTCAATGACAGGTACTTCCCTCACTCTTCTATTACTCATGCTGTTAAAACTCAGAGTGGATCTTGGATGTGGAACTGTTGGATGGAGGTTATGCCTACTTTTGCTAAGTGTTTGAAAACAGAAATCAGGAATGGTGCTCACACTAAAATCACTGATCTTAACTGGGTGCCAAACATCAACAAACCATATCCTATCCTTATTCAAATAGCCAGGGGTCACCTGATTTGGGTAAAGGATCTCTTGCAGGGTAATGGCACTCACTGGAATGAGTGGTTAGTTAAACAGATTTTTGATGCTACTCACAGTACTGCTATCCAGGTATATCCTCACTTAATCCTGATAGACCCGACAGGTTATATTGGGGTCTTGAAAAGAAGGGACTTTTTTCTGTGTCTAGAATATACAAGTATCTGTCCATGCTTAAACTTCAGCAAACTGACATTGCAGCTCTCAGGCCATTCTCAGCAAAACCATTCAATTTAGACATTGGAAGCTAAAAATTGCTGCAAAACTTAAACACTTCCTGTGGAAGTGCATCTCAGTTACACTTCCAGTTGTTATTCAATTGAAAACAAGAAGGATGGATGTGGATATTACTTGTGCTATCTATGGTGAGAGTATGGTGGCAGTGAAACATGTGTTATTTTCCTGCTCAAGAGCCCAAAGCCTGTGGGAGATGTCTCCAGTTCAATGGGATGGTTTAACCAGATGCACTGACTCTTTTAAGGCATGGTGATATCAAATATGCTCTCTTGACTGTTCTGAAGTACCTGAAGCAAGGATACAACTCACTACATATATGATTTGGTGGCTTTGGAAGTCAAGAAATCTACAGATTTTTCAAAAGACTCTGATACCAGTGCACTCATTGATCAAAATGGCACATATGGATTGGATTGACTTCACTTCTGCATCTTAGTTAGCTTTTGGTTTTGTTGTGTTTGTTATGGCTGTTTATTGTTTGTCTTCTTTGAGATTAGTCTTCTGTACTAGGCTTTTAGAAGTGGTGGGAAGCTAAAACTCTCAATTTTCTTATTTGCTTTATTTGAGGCTCTAGACCACCATTGTTTGTGTCTCTCATTTTTTCTTTCTCGGTTGAACTATTTGGCTTGTATTCGAACCTTGCTCGCTTTGAGTTTTATAATAGTTACCTCCGTCGTTTCGGAAAAATAAATTAAAAAAAAAAAAACCACAACCCCATATTGATTTTACCTGATTTTTCCGGCAAGTCATTCAGGCAGGAGACTTCTATCGACGATGCAAGCCAGTTTATTTAGTGGTCGGTCGGGGTGGAGTGGAGAGTGAGGTCGGCGGTGATTGAGGTAGACGAACATGAAAGAAAAAATGAAGGAGGGAATAAGGAAAGGATTCTAGCAAAAAAATTAACATCTAAATCCATAGGATAAAATATAACTAATTTATCAAAATTGAACATTGTAATATGTAAACTATGTCTCCCCAATATCCTCCCCCTGCCCTAATTTCCTCTCTGTCTGTCGTCTCCCTCCAAATCACCTTCGGTTTTTCCTTCCTCTGTGGTAACCGAGCCAGTGCCCGTGGTCGGCCCTTGGCTGCTCGGACGTTTACTGACGATTTACATGGATGGATTTTTCCTTGGTTTTCGGTGCCAGTTCGTGGGCTCAAGTCGTCGGGCTCTCTGGTTTGTGGTGGATTTGGTCGGGGTGTGGTACCGTGGGTGGGGCGAGGCTCGGGCGGCTCCCGGCGTTGGCGCCTGGGTGGCCGGAGCTACGGCTCTATTCTTGCTCTCTTCTCCCCTGTGCTCTAGTGTTGGGTCAGGGGGGACCGATGCTTCGGCTTATCGAACTCTGCCTCGATATGGCACCTCATGCGTCCGCTGCTCCGCGTTTGCTAATGATTTCCATGGACGGATTTCGCCCTTGTTTCCGGTGCCAGTTCGTGGGCTCAGGTCGTCGGCCTCTCTGGTTTGTTGTGGATTTGGTCGGGGTGTGGAACCGTGGCTGGGCGAGTCTTAGGCGGCTCCTGGCGTTGGCGTCGGGGTGGCCAGAGCTGCGACGCTATTCTTTCCCTCTTCTCCCTTGTGCTCTGGTGTTGGGTCAGGGTTGACCGGTGCTTCTGTTTTCCTACTAGTGGCGTTGGCAAGATCGAGGCAACGGTGGTGTGGTGGGACATTTTTGGTGTTCCAACGGCTTGGGGGCGGGTCGAATTTGGGTTTGGTCGGGGCATGGATTCAACTTCGGTTAGGCTTTTTTTGGCAGTTTCGAAAGTGGTTTCTGGGGCTGCAGATCTCTTTTTGGGGTCGAATGATATTCTGTTGTTCGGCTCGGTCGATATGCTGTGGAAGGGCTCGGTTTTAGTTTGTTATGTTTTTGTGTGGTTTTCTGTATAGTTGTTTGTTTAAGAGTCGTGTTTTTGGTTTAGATCATTGACCTCTGTGTGCCTGAGTGTGAGTGGGTATTATCCTTTTGGGATTGGTTATTATCCTTTTTTGGAGTTTTGTAGTGTTTTTTAGTTCAGTGTTGTTGTCATGTTGGTCTAGCATTGATAGAGTGTCTTTAGGCGATTTTCGGATATGTTCTCCCAATTTTTAGCTCTTAGGTGTATCATTCAATTTTGGGTTGCTTTCTGTTTCACATCTGTGTACTTTATAAAATCTCT